TATTCTGTCTCTGAGTTGTAGAATATATTATAGCAGTAGACAATAAGTAAAAAGAATGTGCTGTGAAATGAGCTCTACATGAATGAAATTAGATTTGTAGCATTCTCTAGAAATGTTTTTTTTTCTGTCACAAAAAAAGTTCACCAGAGAAAAGTTCCCTCATGTGGAGACACAAGGACAAGACTCTTGTCTGCTCCTCTTTACAATAAGAAGTGTTTTGCTGTCATCTGCTGGATGAATTACACATTACAGTGTTAAACACACTTCTACAGCTACATATGTCTTTGATATACCGTAATGCCAAATTAACATATCTTTGGAATAGAAACCAATATTTATTTAAAAATGTTGTCTGAATAGACCTTTATTTGTGTACACAAAGAGTCCTGTTCATTTTATAATGTATTAACATACTGTGCTCTTGGTTAGAACATTATAACAGTATAGTGAAAATATAAATACAGAAGAACTGTAGTCCCAAATTTATTATAAAATAATAAATAATTATTATTTAATAATAATTATTATTATTAATAATAAATAAATGATAATAAATAATACAATTTATTCAAAGTTATTATAATTTATATGTATCACAAATGTCAAACATTTTTTGGGTGTGAAGTAAAGTGTTAAGTGTGTGAAGTGAGCAGTCAGTCATCAGTGCTTGTATTTGCTGTGTTCAGATTCAGGTTTTGATGCTGAATATTGATGATTTCCTCTGTTGTGTCTAATAAGGTAAGAATGAGTGTCACTGGCAGCTGTGAGTCTCTCTCTCTCTTTAGGGGGCTGACAGGAGCCAGTTTCTTCAGTGTGTTTGAGGAGCAGAGGACAAACTTGGTGTGATGAGCAGAAGAAGAAGGAGGGATGCCTGACACTCATTTTACTCTCCTCCATAATCACTATAACCACATCTGGTAAGTACAAAATAGACAATAAGATATGAAATTATACATGTTTAAATGAGCCACTTTATCTATGATAGCCTCATATCACTAGAAATTGAATAGATGCCTGTGTAATATCTAGAAACTGTATCTTATGACAATAGTTCAATAATTATCAATTAAATTTTATAAAAAATTTGGGATTTTACAGTCTAACAATTTAATGATGACAGGATTATCTGTAATGTTATCTCATCCATCTTGAAATATCTATAAATGTTTGTATTTACTAACTTTTTTAAATCTTATGTTTCTCAACGTTGCAATATTCTGCTTGTAGGTGATTTAAATCCCTTTCTCTCTTCCTTGTACAGATTTTGAGATTGTGAGGTTAGTTGATGGTAGCAGTCCTTGTGCTGGTACAGTGGAGGTTCTTCATAGAGGTCAGTGGGGAACAGTGTGTGATGCTGGTTGGGATTTGGCTGATGTTGCAGTGGTGTGTAGAGAGCTGGACTGTGGAGAACCTGTAGATGCTCTGAGTCGGTTTGGACCAGGATCAGGACCAGTCTGGATGGATAATGTGGCCTGTAGTGGGTCGGAGTCTACACTAAAGGACTGTAGATCAAGAGGATGGGGTGTTAGTCAGGGCCCGAATTGAGGGGGGATGCGGGGGGATGGCATCCCCCTGGTTGAAAAAAATGACAAAAAGCATCCCCTCAGTAAAACCACCATCTCCCCTTACCATCCCCTTTGGATTAATAACGTGTATTATGTAAAACTTATAATGCAGATGAAATCTTAAAATTATCTACTTAAAGGGGTCATAGGATGCCCATTTTCCACAAGTTGATATGATTCTTTAGGGTCTTAATGAAAAGTCTGTAACATAGTTTGGTTAAAATTTCTCAACGGTATTGTAAAAAACACCTTTTTATCCTGTCAAAAACAGTTCTTTTCAGATCAAGCCGATTTTGTAGCATTTTCCTTTAAATGTTAATGAGCTCTGCTGCCCCCGCCCCTCTCTTCCGAGCTGCTCTCAGAGAGACTGTTTACTTTAGCCGCATTCATCGTGAAACTTGCTAATTAGCACATTATTAGGAAAGGCGATTTGCAAAGATTCATTACAAAACATTATACTCACTTCT